GACAATATGAAATTCTTTGACTTGGATGGGTCCGATAGCGAGGACTCAGGTTTAGGGGGCATCCTTGACTAGATGCAGCGGAGTTTCCAAAAGAATCATGCCGTGTCCTTGCCATCCAGCTTCCAGTCCAGTGACCAGCAACCCCATGTCCTGAGGTGGTACGCATGTGTCTCGAAAGTAGGTAGCCTGAAGCATATGTAAATGCCTATTGTTGGACAGCATAATTTCAGGCACGGTTCCCAATATTTAGACAAACCATGCATGTTAGATATATAATCAAGCTCATACAGTCTGAATGTGCACTGTTGTGCATGAGGCAGCCCCTTTTGGCCATTAGTTTCACCGTGACATCGCTTGACCAGGGTCGGCGAACCTTGGCTGTATATAAAGAATCTTGGGGTTCCAAAATGGTGGTTCCAAAATACATGGTGGTTTCAACATAGATGGTTTATGACCCCACTTCTTTGAACAAAATATAAAAGTGAACCAATGGGTCACCAAAATGGTGTGGAGCCCACAGTATTTACACAGGAGAGAAACTGTCACGACTATAGAGAGAGAGAGATAGATAGATGGATAGATAGATAGATAGATATATTCATACATATGCATGTTGATATCTATCTATCTATCTATCTATTTATCTATCTATCTATCTATCTATCGATCTATCTATCTATCTATCGATCTATCTATCGATCTATCTATCTATCTATCTATCTATCTATCTATCTATCTATCTATCTATCTATCTATCTATTATCTATATCTATATATATATATAAATAAACCCTAAATTTCTTATCTTCGGGGTTGTGGGATGTGATGGTTTGGCAAAATCATGGTTTCCGGGTCCAATTTCATGAAATTCATGGTTTTCCAGCCTAATTTGATGAAATTCATGGTTTTCCACCCCGATTTCATGAAATTCGTGGTTTTTTACCGTAATTTCATAAAAATTCATGAAATTCATGGTTTTCCACCCCGATTTCATGAAATTCGTGGTTTTTTACCGTAATTTCATGAAAATTCATGAAATTCATGGTTTTCCACCCCGATTTCATGAAATTCGTGGTTTTTTACCGTAATTTCATGAAAATTCATGAAGTTCATGGTTTTCCACCCCGATTTCATGAAATTCGTGGTTTTTTTACCGTAATTTCATGAAAATTCATGAAGTTCATGGTGTTCCACCCCGATTTCATGAAATTCGTGGTTTTTTACCGTAATTTCATGAAAATTCATGAAATTCATGGTTTTCCACCCCGATTTCATGAAATTCGTGGTTTTTTACCGTAATTTCATGAAAATTCATGAAATTCGTGGTTTTTTACCGTAATTTCATGAAATTCATGGTTACCAGCAAAAAAAGGAAAACGTGAAATTCCGTGAACTTGATAGCATAAGTCGTTCATAGGTCCTTCAAAACGTGAAATTTCGTGAAATTCGTGAAATCCAATTTTCCAACTTCAGGATTGGTGTTGGGACTACTTAATGCTATTTGGCTGCACCCAAGTCCTTCCATTACCCCATCTGCTCCAGATTCTTGAGCTTCGCAGGACGGAAGAAGCAGCTTTCGTCACCCCAGAGAAGTCCGATCCACCTCTGAAGAGGATCCATGGCAAGACACCACAAGTCTCCAAGGACCTTTCTGACCGTGCTGTTCTGAAGGAACGTTTCCCTGAGCTCTATGCTAGGATTCAGAAACATATTCTGGCAATCAAGAAGGGAGATGCTTCTACGGAGACAAAGGATGGCTTGAAAGCAGCTATGCAAGAGTTGCACCGGGCCAAAGGGCATGGGAAAGGGTCTGGGATGACACCTGTCAAACTCGAGCACCAAGAAACAAAACGATATGATGGGTCCTATGAGCCAGACCAGGAAGATGGCGAAGAATATGTTTCAACGCACAAAGATGAGAAGCCAACGGCAAAGACAAAGAAGACCAAGACAACCACTGGTGAAGACCGGGATAGTGAGAAGCCCGCAAGTTCTTTGTCCAGAAAGAAGAGAACCAATGACGAAGACCCGGAGGAAGAGAAGCCACGCCGAGCTGCCAAGAAGGCACAAAATGCACATGAGGCAGAGAAAAAGAAGCACCGAGAAGAAGACGGAGATGATGCACCTGAGAAGGAAGAACCGTCAAAGAAGAAGAAGAAGCTCCAAGAATGTGAGGCACTTGAGGTGGAAGAACCATCATCTTTGAAGAAGAAGAAAAAGAAGAACCAAGACGCAGATGGAGATGAGGCACCTGAGAAGGAAGAACCGACAAAGAAGAAGAAACAGAAGAACCAAGACGGAGATGGAGATGAGGCACTTGAGAAGGAAGAACCGGCAAAGAAGAAGAAACAGAAGAACCAAGATGGAGATGGAGATGAGGCACTTGAGACGGAAGAACCGACAAAGAAGAAGAAGAAGAAGAAGAAGAAGAACAACCAAGACGGAGATGGAGATGAGGCACTTGAGACAGAAGAGCCGACAAAGAAGAAGAAGAAAAACCAGGACGGAGATGGAGATGAGGCACTTGAGACAGAAGAACCGACGAAGAAGAAGAAGAAGAAAAACCAGGAAGGAGATGGAGATGAGGCACTTGAGACGGAAGAACCGACGAAGAAGAAGAAGAAGAAAAACCAGGAAGGAGATGGAGATGAGGCACTTGAGACGGAAGAACCGACGAAGAAGAAGAAGAAAAACCAGGACGGAGATGTTGCACCTGAGGAAGACACCGATCAGAAGACATCAAGCAGCAAACCTTTGGCCAGAAAGGTCACCTTCTCGGACACTGATGAGGTGCACCCTGCTATCGAGCCAGAGACAAGTGTGTGTGACAAGGGCGGGAAGGGCCAAGGAAAATCAAAAGGTGAAGGAAAAGGGAAAAAGGGTAAGGTCCAATTGGCCTTAGAAGATCTCAAAGCTGCCACATGGACACCACGTGTGAAGGGTGGAAACAAAGGAAAAGGAAAAGGCAAAGGCCTGGTCTGCTATCCTTTTCTTATCTTGGGGAACTTAAGTTTCTCGCGTCAACACAAACCAGCACACTTAGCAAAGCCATGTTCGATCTTCAAGTGAAAGGAAAACATAAGATATCACCTGGTTTGTTGGGCGCAGCTATTCCCAAAGAACTGGTTTACTTGCCATGGCTCAATTCAGTACTTGGGTGCTTTCAGACGAAGCAGTTGATTTTGTATATGATATTTGTCATTCTAACTTCCAATGGCCATGTCCTGAAATTAGCTTCTGTTTTTCCCAGCCAACGTGTTCAAATGAACTACAGTATGGGGCCCCCAAGATGGTCAGAGTTTTTTTGGCATGATAGGTGTATTCATGTATTGTTGTTACATATATATATATATATTTATTTGCCTACAATATTTACAAAATAGTACATGGGGGTTGACACAAACCTATATACCACTGGGGGCACATATACTATACTGGTGAGTGCGCAGCTTCTGACAGGCGATGGAGAGGTACCTGCTACGCCTACTTCAACAGCATCGCCATCACCCTCACAGAGACCACTGAAACTAGTCTTATTTGGCGTTCATGAAGACAGAGACATATCAAAATTCAAAGTGTATATAAATACCCCAAGATTGGGGTAATCTTCCAAATATGGTACTGCAGTGCAATGATAAACTTTGACCTGCTCACCCCATGCTTTGTCCAAGAAACTTATAAATGCTATCAGGCAAAGATCAGACACATCGACCACTACTGACCTTGAATCTTGACCAGCATTAATGGGAAAACATCGATCCCTATGATTACTGCCGCTTGTGGCTGTTTGGTATTGCGTATTTCATCCTAGGAAAATGGATGTGGGACCGTCAAGGTGAGCGGCCTTGCTGTGAAAGACGCCAACGGCAAAATGCGCAGAGTTTCCAGCTCAGCCATTTGACTCCTTAGATCGTTGCGTGTGCAACTATCAGTATCTCAGGTCAAGCACTTGAGCCCTGAACAAAAGGATGCCATCTCAGCAATGCAGAGCCCTTCGGAGATACCGGTCAAGGACTTCCCAATAGATAGATCGATCGATATATTTATATATGTTTTTTTAAACATTATATATATATCTCTCTCTCTATCTATCTATCTATCTATCTATCCGCCCAGTACACCTGGAGACCTGGAACAATTTCTTGAACCAAGTCTGTCATGCTTGAGGAGAGGCGGTGCCTATATTCTGCCATGGACCGACGCTTCGAAAAAGGAGGTGTGGATCTATCACACACATTCCCTATATGTGCAATATCTTTACTGACTACACACACACACATATATATATATATTACACACATGTAAACACATAAAGAAAGAAATAAACCTATATATATATATAGATATATTTATTTAAGCAAAACACACACACATATATATATACATGTATGCATGTGTCTCACATGTCTTTTGTGCCCACCGTGCACCTATATACTTTTGATGGCACCTGCAGACCTACCAGCTTCCCTTCTTCAAAAATTCCATGCAGCAGCCGGCAACCATTCCAAGAAGCCTTGAGCTTATATAACCAGGTTTAGCTGACAAAAACACTTGTTGATTTCTTTTGTGAATGGGCATCCCGTGCATCCCCAATCGTACCGCCCTAGGTTCGAGATGCTGAAGGAATTTCTCCTCGCAGATGAGATGTCCCTTGGAAAAAAAACTATAGTCTCTCCATATGCCCCAAAGTTCTGACTGGTAATGCCTGGTACCGACTTGGTACATGACTTCGCGTATACTGCAGGCGGGATGTCAAGCTGGATGCCAGCATCAAACAGCCACTTGGCATTAAGGGTTTGGAAAGCTGGAAAACCATTGTTTTTGAAAATGATGATATCAGAAAATGAATTTACCATACGCTTCTGAGAGAAGGGGCCGGTACTGAAGCGCCCACATCTCTTATATATTCTGTCAAGTTTTAGTACATCAAGTTGCATGCGCCTTAGATTTGTTACATACTTGTACACCCCAGTTATGCAGCCTGGCTGCCACCTCCAAACATGTCCAGGTCGAGCAACAACGACGACCATGAGATCTTCCTTGAGAAGTCGCGTCTTGATTTGGAGCAGGAGTATGGAGGATCCGAAAATGGGAGGCAGGTTTCAACATAGTTTATTCTGAAATGACGCCATGGTTGAACCAGTGGAACTTTGATTTCGGCACCAGGGCCTTCCTAGAAAAGCTCTTCAAGTCGCAGAAAGGGCGACCGCACCCACAGGCTTGAGAGTATATTCGCCTGCAAGGGGTTCATTAACCTTCTTGAATGAGTTTTTTTGAGAAGCAAATTTATCAGTTTGCCGACCTTTCCTGCTGAGTTCAAGAAAGATGAGCAGTATCGGCTCTACAAGGTTTTCAAGGAGCGTGAGCTCAAGAGTGGCTGTCTTAGATTTTAACAAGTGAATTGAAACCAAATACAAGGTGAACGAAATCAGCCCTAGCAAACTTTCTCGAAAATGTTTCATTCAACTTTGGGCCTCTGAAAACCATGTGCTCAAAGCTTATAATTACTCAATAATTACTCTCCATCTTTCTGTGCGCAGTTGGCTCCAATATTTATACAAACTTGCAATACACGAAACCCGTTTGCATGAGGTGGAACTTCCAACACAGCTACCACAAAGATCAGCGGTGGTGGCCAGTTGAGGAGCTCGTCACCACTGGCTGATGAATCTGTGGATGAAAATTCGTCCCAGGCTCCTTCTGCTGGAGCATCAGCTTCAGGCACCAGGCCCAATCCTGAGGCGGAAGGTGTTGCTAAGTCTCTCAGTTCAATGTTGGATAGCATGTGCCCTCTTGACAAAAAGGGCAAGAATAAGGAAAATGATTCAGATACTGAAGATGAGGATGATGAGGCCCAGGGAAAGAAGCCGAAGAAAAGGAAAGGGAAAGGTCGATCTACCCAGCAACCACGAGAAAGAACGGAAGATCCCCAGGTGCAGCTATATGCATCGCAACCCTTCACACTATCTGCAACATGCCTTCACTATTCACATATCATATTTGTCTTTCTCTCTCTCTCTCTCTCCCTCCCTCTCTCTCTCTCTTCTCTCTCTCTCTCTCTCTCTCGCTCCCTCCCTCCCTCCATCCAGGGTCTTCTTGAATGTACTTGTGTCAGAGGCAGAAGCCAAGAAAAAAGAGCTTCAATCTTTGAACAAAATCATCAACGGGCCAGTGCCCAAGTTACATTGGTTGGGTTTTTGCTTGTCCTGGGTCCCAGGCCAAGTCATGCATTTTTTTACATCTTGAGATATGTCCCTTCTGAGGCTGAGAAGCCTTGGGAAGAAAGCTCGCACTGTGGCCAACGACCTTCATGAATTTCCTGGGAACGACGCCGGGGGCTTGTGGAAATTGCCAGCCCAAAACCGCCCAAGAGATTGTCTTATTGATTTATGGAAATTAGTCCAAATGAGGACATGAAGAACCGGATTGGTGAGCAAGCAAAATGGCTGAGCTCTGTTGCTGTGAGGCTGGGGCTACTATAACCTTTTAGTTTCCACAACACCCTGTCCAAAAAATAAATCTGGAACTTGTCAGGCTTGAGGATGAACATGCAAATGGACAATCCGTTGCCGATGTCATGGCGATCTACAAGCGTCAGAGAAAACGAATCGAGGCACAATTTTTTCCCAGTGTCAGCTAGAGATGTTCAATGTGCAGGTCCAACAAGATTAATCTAGTCTAGATCTGGATACCACAGGGAATCCTGCCATCTTCGCAGCCTGGCTGCCAGGGTGCTGAAGATGACATTGAGTCGGGCAAGGCGACTGTGAACACTTTGAAGCGTCGTTGGGTCCTCAGTTCACAAATGAGTTGAACAAAATTCGTGAAACTGCACCATGGCCCAGGCCGAAAGCAGAAGGAGGAAAAAGAAAAGAAGGCCAAGGAGGCCAAGAAAGCCCAGGAAGAGCCAGAAGAGGAAGAGAAGGAAGTGGATGGAAATGAGGAAGCACCCATGGAGGCACTGTGCCAGTGCCAATGCCTTTACACATCTTGCGCGCCCATCTCCATCCTCATATATATGTTTATCTTGAAGATTCGGTACCTCAAAATCCAATATGGTTTCTTCTCAGCATTTTTCCCAATGAAAGAAATTTGCAGTGTAGCATGAATCAGAAACCTCTTAACCAAATATATATATATATATCATTTGATAAATTGAGGGGCTATCCGAAGATCGTATGGGAAGCATCTTCAAAAGCCAATGGTCATATATTCAATTGATTTGGTATCCAAAACTAATATGGTATCGGATGGGAAGACACCACCAAAAAAATCTGGCACACCACCACCAAAAAATCATATGATCAACTCCCCGCCAGGATGATGAGCCAGGGGAGGAGGACCACTGGTGGAATGAGTGGGATGGCTTCACTTACGATGAGTGAGACATCGAATGGTGGTGCTGCTGTGAATGGCTGGATCGAAGCTGTCCAGTTGGGTTTAGTGATGGGTTTTACAAACCAATCATGTCTTGGGCGTTTGCTCATACTCCACTTTTTTGGTGGCCTGTGTGAGCCTTGGGGACCAACTTTACGTTGACAAATCCTAGGGTGTTGACTGTGGGAAGGCCGATGAAAGAGGCTTAGACCCTGCGTGATCGTCAGCGCTGCTGGAAAAATGGTTGAACCAATCTTTTTGCGATGAGTTCAGAAGGTTTTCACTCGCGGTGACAAAATCCGTATGGAAGTTTAGACTTGATATGTGTATATATATATATATGCGTGTGTAAATATATTATACATATTTGTGTTTTTATTTATCTATTATATATATATAGATGTATGTATGTATGAAAGCGTACAAGAGCTCAACCCCGGATTCATCAACATTTTGGCTATTTACAGTAATTGGGCCACTTTAGAAACAGACTATATATCATTTTTGGGATAGTTTCCCCAAATGTATACCCACGAGAGCCATTACAAGAAAAACTGTCACATCCACCCAGAACCCACCCCCTATGTTCTCACCAAGATGTCCAAGCGAGCTACTTGCCCGAAAGCCAACACAGTTCCTTCTGCTTGCAGGCTGCCAAGCGATCCTCGGGCGGAGCTGCAAAGCTCGTTACCAATTTTTTGGAGATGGTAATGAAGGGCGAGGCGAGGACCACTGCATTGGAACATGTTTCAACTTTCAACCCGCTTTAGCTTGAAAAAAATCAGCAATAGGGAATTTTCTCATCCAGGCATCAATGAAGCGGCTGGAGAAAAATTTGGCTGCTCTTTCTGACTTGCCGCATTACCTCATACCGTCATTGGCTTACATGTTCATAAACCGATGTTGCAGATCACTTTCCTTTCAATATATGTCATGGTTGAATCAAAAAACACTGCAAAAAAAGTGTTTTGTCTCCTCCTGAGGCCTTCAATTCTTCAGCTGGCTGATATGTTTGAAAACGCCAGTGGGTGGGGGCTAGAAAGGACGTTTGCCAAGTGGATTGACCAGCAACCCTGGCGGCATTGCCTGCCTCCAGTTTTTCAGCTCCTCGACTACATATATGTTTGACAACTATCTATATATATATATATACATAGATATATAGATATATATAGATTTAGATTTAGATATAGATCGATACACATACATCTATATATATATATATGTTTGTGTAGATTTGCAATATTTGAATGCTGGTGCCAAAACACATCCTACTCTGGAAAAGACCGATGCTGCTATCTAATGCGGAGCCGGTGCAAATAAGGTTGCAGCTTCCCAGAGAAGCTCAGCTCAATTTTTCCTTGTTTGCACATGTGCAGTTCTGAAGCTGAACCTAAATATGCAAGTGCTCCTAAAGTTTACGATCCGAGGCGCAAAAAACGAATACCGCGAGTTTGAAATTCGTAACATCTGGGCTGCTCTTGCCGCACGAGATCTTTGGTAGCCTCTACAATTACCAGAACGGTCAGCTGTTTTTCAGCCTGTTGGCAGGGCTCCCTGGGGTATCACGGCAGCATTCTGTGATTTTGGTTGTTTAAGAAATGTTGGTGAAAAACGTCCTTACCCCCATCTGCATGTGGGTTCTTAGGTGCAAAAAGAGTATTGGTCTCACAACACTAAACTGGAAGATGACCTGCGAGCGTACTGGAGGCAACAGGTGCGCCTTTGCAGGTTCTCATGCCATTTCAGAATTCACGTTTTTTTTATGTTGTTGAAATTGCAGGAGGTGGAAGAACCCACCAGCATGAGCTACGTCCTCCCTGTAAGATTGTATGGTGATGGAGCTGGTGCTTTCAGCCCAAAACTCAATAAGTCGCCTTTCAAACATTAAAGTGAGTCTAAAACATCCTTATGCACACCTAAGGCCACCAGTCCTTTGAGCTCCTTTCACTACTTCCAGTTCTGAGTCCATTTTCATCATCACTCGACAACCGTATTGTGTTTGGAGCCAAGGTTCAAACATCTTCTTGATAAAATGCATGCCTGTCCAGCTTTTGCCCCGATACCTTTGAGGCTAGCCGTGCGAAACGTGAGCCGATCCCATGAGGCCAGTGTGGAACATTGTCGTCCATGTGTCAACATACCATTTACCAGAGCCCCTTGTTGTCGCCAGGATCCCAAAACGGCAAAACAATCCCGGACCAAGATCATGGAGCTCATCCTTTGGTCTATGAAAGCCCTTTGCATCATGGACAATTTTATCCCGATTGCTGGATTATCTTTTCAATACATGGATGTGTATTTCATGGGGTTCATTGATAACAGCACTGCAGCCTAGGCAAGGGAATTTGGCCCGAGACAGATGCTTGGGGGGAACCCTTTGGGGCCTGTTGCCCTCAACATTGGAAGGAAAAAGCAGGTAAACCAATCTGCGGCCCGTTTCGGGCTGTTGTGGACGGCTTTCATGGCGACCAGGAATTTCTCCATAAACTGTTCGAATTCAAAAGATCTTTGGTTGCACACATGTATTTTTTTAAATTATATTTATATATATATATGTGCGTCTGTTTTGCATGAGTGTCATATTTGCCAAGTTGCGTCCGTCTTCGGCCACAGGAAGTTGGCACAGCAAGCGCAGAAAGTGCTGCCCGTTTTGCGAGGCATGGTGCAACATTGCGTCATTTCGACAGTAAAGTGAAGAACCATTGGACACTGTATCAATCAAAGCTGTAGGTTTGCCAATGCCAGTTCTGCTCCAGGCTGTGACCTTTGTGGAGCCTGATGAGGATGAGACTTTGGTATATACTGCCGTGGGTATTCATGCGCAACATCGACAAACGTATCTGGGAGTGAATCACATTTCTCTTGTGATGTATAGAAATGAGAGTTTGCCTGTCTTGATGGGTGGGGAATACTTAGGAATGATTATTTGCATGATTGCTCGAGGCTAGTGCGAGATGCATCTGACTGGATTGAGATTCATGGGGAAACTCCATGGACTAAACTCCCAGCTTTTGATCCTTGGCGTATCTATCCCGATGTGTTACACGTGCTGGACTTGGCCATAGCTCCTGACAGCATTGGGTCGTTCCTCTTGTTTGCCACTGACAACGGAAACAGAGATCAGGGCCTTGACACGATACGCATGCAATATTTCCAGTGGGCTTCCGAGATAAAGCTCGGCTGTGAGTATCTGGCCAACCCGAAACTGTTCACTTCAAAAGTGTTGCAGTCTTCTTCAACAACTTACCCGACTATTTCCCAGAAGTTTTTGAAGGGTGCAGCGGCTCGCATGATGTGCTACTTCATATGTGGTCTTGCCTGTGAGAGAGCTCGTGCTTCCGATACCATGTTGGACAAGTACCTTTGTCAAACAAAAAATGTTTATTGTTTTAGCCGAAAAATGTTTTACAAGGAGAGCCACAATGCAACTCATTCATTGGACGCGTTTTGGGGCACTTTTGATGAGTAGTTGCAGCTATCAACCATTGCAATCAATGGTATCGATTCACATAACGTGCGGAAACATACCTTTTCAAACCCGAAGGTGCACAAGCACAGCGGTACAGGGACACACACACACACTTGCTCAGAACAGTCTTATCGACTTTTGTTGTGGATTGCATCCAACGTGCAAAAACAATCCACTTATACCTGACAGGAGTGGGTCAGTGAAAGGACCCGAAAAGGTATCAAGGAGCTGCCATCGCCATAGCCAGTGTTGTTGCCAAATTGAAACTGTTTGACAAAGAAAAATCCAAATGATCGACATGCCGGTTCTAGGCTTGGCCGGTTGCCATTGACGGAAAATCACACTGAAATTGTTCTGCAGGTACGTCACGGTGATCAGCCGTGATATCCGCATGTACTGTGGCCGCTTCGTTGGACCATCGCCATAGCCAGTGTTGTTGCCACAGCCAAAGTTGCTACAATTTCATTTACACTTGACAGGAGAGAGATTGGGAGTGCCTAGTCAGTGAACTCCAGGAGGAGATTCCCGCAAGATCAATGCCGTCAAAGCTACCATCGTCATAGGCAGAATAATAAACAGACATGAGGATTCAAAACCACAGTCTCAGATGGCGCCAACAACGCAGTAACGGGAAAACTCGGTGAAGGGGCTATGCGGTTACTGCACCATCATGGGTGTTACAACATCAAGGGGGATTCTTGGAACCAAGGTATATGGCAAACATGTTCTTGGGGCTTTGTGGCTACTACACCATTTTGGCTGAGAACTCGTCCAAAACTTACATGCAGTGAAGAAAGAATTTGGTGTTTTCTTTTTTGATTGCTGAATTTGACGAAGCTGGAGCCACTGAAGGCGATGGTGGACGAGCATGCTTTCGCGGACTCCTCCAAACCACCCATTGAACGAACTGGCCATGTCTTACTTCACCCTGAGAAATTCATACAATTGTGTCTTGGTGGCACCTCTTCGAAAAAACAAAAGCCGGATCGTAATTCATTTGGAAATCTCTTACTGAAACTTGTCATCCCAGGGCTGGCAGATTTTTGCTTGGAGAATGGCATCCTGCGATGGGAGCTCCGCCCCAAACAGCACATTCTGGAACACATGAAGCTTTGCGAGAATTAGGATAATTTGCAATGTGCAATGATTTGGCTCTCATCTCATGTAGCGTGGGCAGCCACCGAAGGGATCCCATCTCAGGAAAACATGTTTACACAAGGTTAAACCAACCCCTTTCCTTTTTCTCAACAAATTTACTCAGGAAGGCAATTGGGCTTGGTTCTTTCCTATTATTCGATTTTTCAATCAAACCCGCGTAGAGAATAGCGGGCGCAGCTAAGGACATTGGACTTTTCACCCTTGAGAGGTAACCCCAAGCACTACAGCTGCCACCTCGACGAAACAATGATGGGTGTCTGCAAGAGTTTTGTCAGCATTTTGTATTTAGAGATATATATGCATAGACAAAACAGCAAAATCTATATAAATATATGTGTATATGTATATGTATAAGATAGATATATATATATATGCGTGTGTGTATGCGCAGTGGGTTTTACATATCCAACTAAAAATCAGAAATTCAAAAGGAACTTAAGCACTACTTAAATATATCTTTGAACCCTGTGCTTTTTCACTGTTGCCCATATGGGGTGAATGCCAGCCTACACCATTGAACAATAATCCACCGCCTGGCTGCGCTAACCAAGGAAAATTGTGGAACACACCCATGCCAGCACGTTCGGCTTGAGGGCTTTGCAGCATTACTGCTGCATGATAGCTTTGCATTGGCACGGTGACAGCGTACTCAGCCAGTGATGTCCAAAAAAAGCTAGTGCTACTTCAGGGCGTTGAGTTTTGTGCAGGGTTCTTTTCCTTTATCTATTTCACCCTTCACCGAACTAATGTTTTATAAGTAGAACCCCTCTAGGGAAATAGGCGGAAGTTTCCAAAGTTATATGGCTCAAGCGGTTGTGCATATGGCATTGCCTGCCTGGCAGTCATGCTTTGCTATAGCTTCTTGCAAGCAATTTTGTGCTCAGCACCTTGCTTTGATAGCTTCTTGCAAGCTTTTTCAAATCAGCACCTTGCTCTGATAGCTTCTGGCAAGCAGTTTTCAACTCAGCACCTTGCTTTGATAGCTTCTTGCAAGCTTTTTCAACTCAGCACCTTGCTCTGATAGCTTCTGGCAAGCAGTTTCCAAGTCAGCAGCTGCCTGTTTTGGTCTCACACAAGCGCCACGTTTTACGTGGTGTGCAACGCAAATTAGCTTTTAAGTCCTCGCTCCCTATAAATCGTTCTTATGTCTTTACAACCTCTCCAGGAAAGCATTACGCAGATGCCGGGACGCCATGGCAATGCAACGTCTGCAAGCTGTGGCATGTCGAGACCAATTTTCCAGCAAAGCATCGGCAACGTCAATGTAGTTTTTACCGTGTGTTTTTGACATGCGAAGCCAAGAAACCATGTTTCAAATGTGGCGTTGCGAAACCGGAAGCCGAATTTGGACCGGCCGCATGGAAAGCTCGCAACGCGGACCGCCGCTGCTGCAGAGAATGTACCACCAAACAGCGGGGGTGTTGGCAATGTTCCCAGTGCAGCGAACGCAAGCCACGAGCAGAGTTCACAGCTTGGCAGCAAAGTCGGAAACATACGCAGGATGGTACACAAGTATGCAATGCATGCACAGCCTTTGCCTTCGTGTGTCGTCTTGCTCATCGCACAAATCAACGCTTGGCCCGCTTGCGCCAACGCGAATCCCGTCAACGACACGAAGCAATCCTAGCAGACGTTCGCAAGGAGATTCAGAAAATGCACGAAGCTAGACAAACGTCGACGGGAACGGACGAAACCAGAACGGGCGTTGCCCAGACATCGACCCAGCCGCTTGCTGCGAGGCCCGACTTTGCCCGCACTGCGCCAAATCTGTGCCAAGCACGGTGACGACAGGGCAAGTCGATCACCGCCGCGGTGATGGCTGCGGCAAATTTTTTCGCGTTGCGAATGGCCGGCTTGCAGGTCGCACGCATGCACACACATGTCCAACATGCGGCACGGTGGTGCATTCAACAAAAGTTTCCGGGCAAATTCAAATAACGCATCGCACGCCCAACGGAAAGCAGTGTCGCACCGACCGATGGCCCGTGCAGAACTGATCACAAACGGAGGCTTCACCCAACAGCAGAACTCCGAGGGACGGATGCAGCAGAGCCGCGGCCCCAGCCGCCAGGCTTCACAAACGGCGCCTTGGCCACACCAAAACGGCAGCGCCCTGAGGGACGGACCGGGCCTGCCTCCAAAACAGCAGGGCCCTGAGGGACGGACTGGGTCTGCGGGCCACGGGCCCCACTGCCTAACGTTGCTTTCTGAACCTACAAGAAAACTAGCTGTCTGAGCTGTCTTCCAGTCGCCAAAAGCTTCACAAACGGCGCCTTCGCCACACCAAAACTGCAGGGCCCTGAGGGACGGACTGGGCCTGCGGGCCACGGGCCCCACTGCCTAACGTTGCTTTCTGAACCTACAAGAAAACTAGCTGTCTGAGCTGTCTTCCAGTCGCCAAAAGCCTCACAAACGGCGCCTTCGCCACACCAAAACTGCAGGGCCCTGAGGGACGGACTGGGCCTGCGGGCCACGGGCCCCACTGCCTAACGTTGCTTTCTGAACCTACAAGAAAACTAGCTGTTTGAGCTGTCTTCCAGTCGCCAAAAGCTTCAGAAACGGCGCCTTCGCCACACCAAAACAGCAGGGCCCTGAGGGACGGACTGGGCCTGCGGGCCACGGGCCCCACTGCCTAACGTTGCTTTCTGAACCTACAAGAAAACTAGCTGTCTGAGCTGTCTTCCAGTCGCCAAAAGCTTCACAAACGGCGCCTTCGCCACACCAAAACAGCAGGGCCCTGAGGGACGGACTGGGCCTGCGGGCCACGGGCCCCACTGCCTAACGTTGCTTTCTGAACCTACAAGAAAACTAGCTGTCTGAGCTGTCTTCCAGTCGCCAAAAGCTTCACAAACGGTGCCTTCGCCACACCAAAACAGCAGGGCCCTGAGGGACGGACTGGGCCTGCGGGCCACGGGCCCCACTGCCTAATGTTGCTTTCTGAACCTACAAGAAAACTAGCTGTCTGAACTGTCTTCCAGTCGCCAAAAGCTTCACAAACGGCGCCTTCGCCACACCAAAACAGCAGGGCCCTGAGGGACGGACTGGGCCTGCGGGCCACGGGCCCCACTGCCTAACGTTGCTTTCTGAACCTACAGAAAAAACTAGCTGTCTGAGCTGTCTTCCAGTCGCCAAAAGCCTCACAAACGGCGCCTTCACCACACCAAAACTGCACGGCCCTGAGGGACGGACTGGGCCTGCGGGCCACGGGCCCCACTGCCTAACGTTGCTTTCTGAACCTACAAGAAAACTAGCTGTCTGAGCTGTCTTCCAGTCGCCAAAAGCTTCACAAACAGCGCCTTCGCCACGCCAAAACTGCAGGGCCCTGAGGGACGGACTGGGCCTGCGGGCCACGGGCCCCACCTTCGCCACACCAAAACTGCAGGGCCCTGAAGGACGGACTGGGCCTGCGGGCCACGGGCCCCACTGCCTAACGTTGTCGCCAAAAGCTTCAGAAACGGCGCCTTCGCCACACCAAAACAGCAGGGCCCTGAGGGACGGACTGGGCCTGTGGGCCACGGGCCCCACTGCCTAACGTTGCTTTCTGAACCTACAAGAAAACTAGCTGTCTGAGCTGTCTTCCAGTCGCCAAAAGCTTCAGAAACGGCGCCTTCGCCACACCAAAACAGCAGGGCCCTGAGGGACGGACTGGGCCTGCGGGCCACGGGCCCCACTGCCTAACGTTGCTTTCTGCACCTACAAGAAAACTAGCTGTCTGAGCTGTCTTCCAGTCGCCAAAAGCCTCACAAACGGCGCCTTCGCCACACCAAAACAGCAGGGCCCTGAAGGACGGACTGGGCCTGCGGGCCACGGGCCCCACTGCCTAACGTTGCTTTCTGAACCTACAAGAAAACTAGCTGTCTGAGCTGTCTTCCAGTCGCCAAAAGCCTCACAAACGGCGCCTTCGCCGCACCAAAACTGCAGGGCCCTGAGGGACAGACTGGGCCTGCGGGCCACGGGCCCCACTGCCTAACGTTGCTTTCTGAACCTACAAGAAAACTAGCTGTTTGAGCTGTCTTCCAGTCGCCAAAAGCTTCAGAAACGGCGCCTTCGCCACACCAAAACTGCAGGGCCCTGAGGGACGGACTGGGCCTGCGGGCCACGGGCCCCACTGCCTAACGTTGCTTTCTGAACCTACAAGAAAACTAGCTGTCTGAGCTGTCTTCCAGTCGCCTTCGCCACACCAAAACTGCAGGGCCCTGAGGGACGGACTGGGCCTGCGGGCCACGGGCCCCACTGCCTAACGTTGCTTTCTGAACCTACAAGAAAACTAGCTGTCTGAGCTGTCTTCCAGTCGCCAAAAGCCTCACAAACGGCGCCTTCGCCACACCAAAACAGCAGGGCCCTGAGGGACGGACTGGGCCTGCCGGCCACGGGCCCCACTGCCTAACGTTGCTTTCTGAACCTACAAGAAAACTAGCTGTCTGAGCTGTCTTCCAGTCGCCAAAAGCTTCAGAAACGGCGTCTTCGCCACACCAAAACAGCAGGGCCCTGAGGGACGGACTGGGCCTGCGGGCCACGGGCCCCACTGCCTAACGTTGCTTTCTGAACCTACAAGAAAACTAGCTGTCTGAGCTGTCTTCCAGTCGCAAAAAGCTTCAGAAACGGCGCCTTCGCCACACCAAAACAGCAGGGCCCTGAGGGACGGACTGGGCCTGCGGACCACGGGCCCCACTGCCTAACGTTGCTTTCTGAACCTACAAGAAAACTAGCTGTCTGAGCTGTCTTCCAGTCCCCAAAAGCTTCAGAAACGGCGCCTTCGCCACACCAAAACTGCAGGGCCCTGAGGGACGGACTGGGCCTGCGGGCCACGGGCCCCACTGCCTAACGTTGCTTTCTGAACCTGCAAGAAAACTAGCTGTCTGAGCTGTCTTCCAGTCGCCAAAAGCCTCACAAACGGCGCCTTCGCCACACCAAAACTGCAGGGCCCTGAGGGACGGACTGGGCCTGCGGGCCACGGGCCCCACTGCCTAACGTTGCTTTCTGAACCTACAAGAAAACTAGCTGTCTGAGCTGTCTTCCGGTCGCCAAAAGCGTCACAAACGGCGCCTTCGCCACACCAAAACTGCAGGGCCCTGAGGAACGGACTGGGCCTGCAGGCCACGGGCCCCACTGCCTAACGTTGCTTTCTGAACCTACAAGAAAACTAGCTGTAAGCTTCACAAACGGCGCCTTCGCCACACCAAAACTGCAGGGCCCTGAGGGACGGACTTGGCCTGCGGGCCACGGGCCCCACTGCCTAACCTTGCTTTCTGAACCTACAATGTTGCTTGTAATCTCTTCTCTGACGCGCTCCCCCTGCTGTCGGCAGGGGTCGGCGGATATTCCAAAAAAGATACACACCTTCAAGATCCTTCAAGATCCTTCAAGAGTGAAGTTTACAGGCTCTAAACTTGGTTGATGATTTAGGACGGTGATTAGACTCACGGTGATTAGACTAAGGGCTCCGCATGGACGTTTGAAGCATTTTGTTGGCGATGCGTAGTCAGTGAGATATGGTGAATGAATTTGGTTCTGTTTGTGGTTCATGTGACTCTGCTGGTGGATGTGCAAGTCGCAGTAAGTGTTTCGCTTGTCGTGTAATGGTGCTACTTGCGTTGTGTACATTCTTGGCGATTTCCCGTGTGCATGTCTCTCTTCCATTCTTGTGCCACTTGTGCTATCAAGATCTTTGTCAGTCATACCAATGCTGGTGCTATCATGTGATATGCATAGCGTGGTAAACTGAATTACGAACCATCCCCAATATTACCACAAATTGTTGATTAAAAAAACACAACAAAACTACTGTATCCCCAAATGGTAGCTTTATTGTTGCTTTACCCCATTATCATCAATTGCAGTATATATCCCCATATTTCGTTGGTGATTGTCCCATGATATCCACATTATTTGAAGATTTGACGGCAGTAGATCCCTGGTCCTTCACGATACGAAGGTGGGTGCGCTGGGTGAAGGCAGCTTCGGCCAAGTGCTATTGGTGACAGACCCGGCCTGGGACCCCAAACGCATGGCTATCCTTTTGCTCGTAAGGGTTGGAACACTGGGCAACAAATCGACATGAAATGCGAATGCCGCCAGCTGATCAGTGCCCAGTCAGCATGGAAAGGTAAAACATCCTTGACCATTTGGGTTCCTACGTATTTTTTTGTGCACCCGATTTGTTGATTAGTAGAGGGTATCCAGCATTGCCATCAGGCACCTGGTATCAAAGCGATCCCTCAATGTTCCACGCTCACCACGATCATGATGATGATGATGATGAGGAGGAGGAGGAGGAGGACGACGACGACGACGACGACGATGATCTAGGTCCTAGGTGTGTCCAAAGCCTTCCAGCCTCTAACTCCACACACCGCTTCAGGAAGGGCAGGACTTTGTGTGGACCTCAAAGGTGGCCGAATTCCTGGTGAAGATGGTGGAAATCCCTTGAACTTTTCAACATGACAAACTGTTGAAGGGGGGCTGGCATGACTTCACGCTCTGCCCTTGGCTTCGTATGGAGTCAGGGAGGATTTCTCTCCTTGCGCATTGACAATCAATATCGTTGTTCACAAAGTTTACCCCTGGGACATTCGCCAAAGCAAATCCAGCACGAGAGCTAGGAAGCTCAATAGTATTGAGTGAGATAGGATGTATTTGATCAGAGGTTGTTGGTCCATTTCCCCATATTTAAATATATCGCAATATATCATACTTCAAGCAATTTTTGTGGAGTGACGGTCCAGCCTTGGATCGCTTCACAGCAAAACCAAGGCTCTGAAACGGGTCAGCCGAAAGCATTTGGAACAGGCCCGCTGTCGACCGTGACCCATTGCTGTGGGGGTGAAACGAGCCCCGGCTCCAGTTGGGTTCACTGACCCCAGAATTTCCCTTGGCGGGGCAGCGCTGGAAGGGGTTCCATTTCGGGTCTGGATGTTTCAACTGCTGGGCCTTTTGCACTGGGCAGTGGTGAGGTTTCCGTGGATGAAGTGCAGCTGGGGCAAGAGTGCACACCGTTGTGAGAGTTGCGGGGCAATTCAGTTCCCTTCGGAATCCCCTTTTGCGCAAAATTGAGTACAATTGACAATGTCGTGGAAACACCATGTTTTCCACGTTTTTCTCTGAAGTTTTTCCCTGCTGTGTGAATCTTTGCGGGGTTCTCGTTCCAAAAGCCACCGGCAGCTGTTTGCTCAAGCCCAGCGTCACGACTTGCCACACTTTTAATGCCAAGGCCGGGCGGGGGGCGTTGTGAGAAGGGGCTGGCTTGCTGCCACGGATTTGTCAGCAATTCAGGGGAAAACCCTGGAAAACCCAATGGTTTATCCGTGGCTTATCATCATTTTCCTTCTTGTTCAATGGCCATTTGGATACCCAATCTTCAGACACATCCACACTGCCCACACTGTTCAAGTTGATGCTTTCAATTTTGGATGGATCAAGACTCTGATAGTGCATGGATACGTATGGATACGCTGGTTCTTGCGTCAATTTTAGCCGGTAGTTGTATATATACGTACGTTCATTCAGCCATTCGGGTCTTTCTGAGCCATCCACAACGATATTTTCGTCCAACCTAGGAAAATGATCGCATATGATCGCATCGTATAATTTACAGCAACTGATGACTACTTGATTACTTAGTGCATTCATCAATTCGTCTATATAGGGGTGGGTGGGAACCACCAACCAATGCTAGGATGTCAACGTGGCTGAGTCGTCCCCTCTGTTGGGCCAGTCCCTAGCAATGTGGCAGCCCAACAGTTGTAGGTATCGACTGAACATTGCAGTCTTTATCTTACATGTTGCATCTATACACGTGTCCAAATACATCACAGAATATAGGTGTATACGGACATGTGTATATGTATTCAACTGCAAATGTATGTACACACACACATATATATATACACACACACACACATATATATATATATATATATATATCACATATATATATATCTCTCTCTCTCTCTCTCTGTGCTAAGTCCAAGGTCTAATGCCCAATATTTGTTTCTATATCTCATGGTTGGACCCTCGAAGCCCCAACCGCCCCACTTCCACAGGCGGAGCGGATGTTTTGCTGCCAGGCGCAGCAAGTTTTCTTGGGGGAGAATCAATTTGGTAAAGTCAGCAGATTTACACGGACAAGATCTCGGTGATGAGAAATAGATACAAAACACCGACACCACATCCATCCACATCAATCCACATGAACAGCACACAAGATATACATCCACATGAAGCCACATGAACCCACAGAAATCTACATGAGAAATAGAGAAAAAAACACCATCGCTGAAGCATATGATCAGCCCATGGTGCAGCCAGGACAACCCCTGTGGATCCGCGGAGGCGTTGACCGTCACGGCCGAGGCCACCGGTGAATGGATCTGTGGATTGGAAGCTGAACGGCAGATGTGGCGACCGAGGGCAGTTGGCCAAACCAACACGGGAAGAATATGGAAGAATGGCACAAGGTCTACTTAGTCTACTTTCTGGAGATATTTTCCGTAGCTGTTTTTGGGCATCTCATTTCTTGTGGTATCGCATCGGCCAACGTCGAGTGGCATTTGTTTCGGTGCGTAGGCTGGTGACTTGCATCAGTTATTTTGGGCCGGTGAAATGCCAATCTTCCCTGCAATTATCTCATCGCATTGCATAAGGAAACCGAAACAAATTGATCTTAAATTGGCAATGGATAAGATTGTTTGGGTGTATGCACCACCGAGAAGAGACTCGTACATTTTCTTATATAGTGGGCAAGGAGGCCAAGCCTGCAACAGCTGATGTTCACTGCGCTGTGGCTAAGATCCAAATGTTTCACACTATCATGATCTATCATGCACTATCATCATAGAAACCCATCTTGTTATCATGTATTTCTACCCGGTTTTCTAGGATCGGAATTGTAGGTTCTTGCCATTGCTTGCCATGGCAGATGCTTTGATTTTCAGACTCTGTGAGTTTGATATGAGACTGTGCCTTCACTCCACGGCAAGATTTCCAAGATCGTGTTTTAGTCCAGGATCTGGTACGGGTAGAGCCCATCACCACCACCGAAAACCGGGCGTTACGGAACATCCTCCCAGAACGGGATGAACAACGAACAGGAGATCCCTGAAATTGGATGGACATGGTGGACAAGAACATCTCAAAAACATGGGCCCCAGTGGTCCCAGCCAAGGTAAAAACAAGGTAAAAACCTGGGGTTCAAACAGTCCCGAAGATTTTCTCAGCCCCGAAGCTGAGGACCAGGGGCAAAGCTCCCCAGAGGCCATCGATGGAACCAAGCCGGGAAGCCTGGGTTTTCCCATCGATCTGGGCCCGAGCGTTTGAAATGAGAAGTTTGAAGTAAAAGATTAAATAACACATATATTTTTTTGAACATGTGTCCGCTTTTTATTGTTTTTTTGGTCAACCATGACTTTGACGGCGATGTTCATAGAAGGAAAGGCAAGGAATCTGAAGGAATCCTGTTCTATTCGAACAGCCATGGCTCGCAGGAATTTAAAGTTCCTTTTCAACGAACTTCAGGGGGTCTGCACTTCCATTATTCCATGGCTGTTGCGCTATAAGATTGCCAGGGGCACACTTCCCAAGACTAAAGCCTGGATACTAGAAACCCGCATGCGTGGTTAATGGGCACCAAGCCCATCAGGGGATCCATGTTTTGCATCAAAAAAGTGCAACAGAGGCCATGGACATTAACCGCATAAATTCTTATCGGAACTATGTCAGTGGGCCAATACAGATGCTAAGGGCTTCCAAAAAAGGCAGAAGCAGAGAAGCATATAAACCATCTTTCAAATAGTAGGGCTACTTCATAGGGATTTGCGACCATACCGGCAGACTATTCATATGCCCCTCAAGCTGACTGTATAAATCCCTTGCAATAGGAGTGTTTCCGCCTCTGGCGGGCCCTTGATAGCTGACAGCTGCTCATGTCAAGGCTGGGAGTGATAGTAACCTTCGAGCGACCAGATGGACGCGAGAAGGACTGAATCTGTGGGAGCTTTCTCCGCTGAAACACTCAGCATGGTCTTGGTTCCTGTCATACATGCATACATCCACATACACACATAGATTGCGGTGTAATGGTTTCTACAATATAGAGTGTGGTAGAGCTGCTGGTAGACCTCACCCACTGTTCCCTAGCCACCCCATCCCTCATGTTGGGTTAAGTGCGCAAGTGAGTGAGAGGGCCCAAGTGGGTCCAAGAGTGAGTGCGCAAGTGAGGCGGCCACTGGTGTCCTTTAACCGAAACAGACAACCTCCGCACCCCCAGAAAACCCGAATGGCATGCAGCGACTTGGGACCCCTTCAAGGAGAAGTAGTTTAAGGGATAGCGACAGCCATGCGCAATCTCAAATAGAGCAAAACAAGGCCAGTGATGCAGTTGGATTCCAACATACAATGGCATGTGATGGTTTCTTGAAATGGTGGCCTTGAAAACGCTGGTTTGACATTGATGTAAAGGCAGTCTGGGATCCAGAGACCAGCCCCGGGAGATGAATGTGCTCATGATTGATCACATTCTTGGCCGATGAAATGTCAGACTGGGCACCTCTGACCATTCTGACCCGGAAAGGACATCAGCTTTCTTCACCGACCCCTTGGGATGGACTGCAGTGGTCAGGACTGCTGACGTGGCGTTGGGATAGGTCCAGATAGGTGTGAGCCCAGCCCAGCCTGTGCCATCGTCGTTGCCCGTCCCAGGAAGTTGTGGTGGTGGAGCGAGTCCTTCGCTTTTCGCAAGCCGCCAAAGAAGGTGTGGCTGCGAATTGGGTCCCTTGGCTGATGCTCTGATCCGGGGTCAAAATGCGCTGTTGTGTTGTGTGGGCTTAAGGCCATTCAGGGCCTACGGGCTGAATGATGTTACTTTTTCTTGATCCCTTCCACTTCGCATCCTACGACTCAGATAACCCGACTTACCTCTTAGACATGGCCACGATTCCTTGTTCCTTGAACGCTTTCAGCGCCCCTTCCAGGTTGTCCGAGCAGTCAACGGAGTCAGACATGATGTGCCGTTAGGCAGCACCAGTCCTCGTGCACGGTTGTGGTATTACAGATGTTAACTTCCAGGGCTAGATCCATTTTTGGGAGAATCTCACTCTTTGCTGAAGTCCTTTAGCCTAAGATGAATGAAAAGAAGATATCCTTCCAAAATATTCCAAAGATCCAAGATGCAAAGCGTACAGACTTGCACCCGGGCCGCACCCTGGGGGACTCCCGTGCCGGCACGGGATGCCGAGGCTCTCAACGCTGCAAGCTGCCAGCAATCAGCTGCCACAGGTTGCCGGCTTTTTGTTGGGTGACATTTTTGGTACTAAACTGCTGGATAAACATATATAAACATCATCAGTTCTTTGGGGTACGATCATTTTGACTCATACCCTGATGTTTCAACATGTTTCAACGCCATTTTGCTTGGAATTGATCTACTTTTTGCAATTATGCCTTTGTTTCGGCCGCTTGCCCACAAGAGGGTTTCATGGTGCGCTGCACCTGTATTCGGCCCTGGGAATCAGCCATTGTCCATTCTTTGTGCAGGTGGCTGATGTGTGCTCCTCAGAGACCAGCGGAACACGAGCAGGGATTGGGAACAAGCTGGGATGAAACTGCACCATGTGGAAGAAAGCCGATTCTTTTTTGAACAGATTGTAGATGGCTGGCTAGAATGGTCGAGTGGCCTTAGACTGGACTTAGAAGTTCTGGCCACCTGACCGCCACTGGTATCGCTTTGGTGGACCTTTATTCGATGCTTACACATCCACAAAAAGCTGATCCCATGGTCAGAAGTCATTTGGGACCTGTGCCCCTTCCAACCCATCTCGCCCAGATTCGCTTCACCTTTCGGGTGCCGGACGCCGGAGACAAGGCCAGGATGACACCACCGGGTGGGCGGATGAAAAATCATATGGGGGGGTATCATGGCGTATCATTACCCTCTGGTAATTTAACATAGCTATTGAAAATTGCCCATTTATAGTGGATTTTCCCATCTAAAATGGTGATTTTCCATAGCTATGTTAAATTACCAGAGGGTAAATAATATTCAGGATGATGGATAATCATGGATGTACCATGATGATCCGCGATGTACCATGATGACTAGCAACTTTCATGAGGAAATCGATGGCTCAGGAGGTGGAGATCGCTCTCAGAAGCCGGCCGGTGGGAATTACCTTCACCCGAAGCGAGACTTGGGCGGAGACGGCCGGTGGAACCGCAACGGCTTTTTGGACCGCTTTGGAGCAATGGACCCCAATGGACCCCAATGGGCTGGTGTAGGGTAGGACCGGGTAGGATGGTTTTTAAGCAACCAGGTCTTTTGGGTTGGCGCCTGGTGAAGAGTTCCAGAGTGGCACAGTGTCGGTGCACAGCAAAGGACGAGATGTTGATGTTGCACCATTGAGGCAAGGTGAAGTATCACAGTATCACGGGTTTCCTTTGAATTTGGTCCATTCATTTACTTGAATCTGACGGCGATATGAAAGTGGCAACTCTCAGTCCAAGCTCCCCAGTAGCTCTAAAGCATACTGAAGCAGTTTACTTTGGGGGGTGGCATCATATTCTGGCTGGTAACACCGGGTCACCCTGTGTCGGGTTGCACCCAGCCTGGCGGTTTTGAGGAACCCTTGAGAGTGAAGTCCGTGAGGTCCCAGTCCTACGCCTTCGGATGCCCGGCCGGATCGTCGATGATGTGTCTTTAGATACGTACTCGTACATCATACATGTTATGGGAAAACAATATGCACATATTATATAATTATTATAGCTATAATATGCTATAATCATATTGATATAGATACGTATATATAGTATATATATATAAATATTATAGACATGTAGATGCATACATACACATGCATTTCGGCGTGCAATGTTGGATTTGGCCGTGCCTCTTGACCCTTTTTGTCGTGTTTTGGCAGCTGGTCAATTATGAAGATTGGATCTTGGATCCAACTGGTGAACGGCCAGGGTGAACGCTTTTTGTTTTTACACCCTCAAGATTAGGCATGGGACAGTTTAGCATGACAGTAGATGATCGGCCCCCTCTTTGACTTTTGATTTTCGTACTGCCCGATGACTTACCAGCTGGGGTTAAACTGTGGCCTGGTATGGGCTTTGACACTTAGGATATCTTGGAAATTGATCCGACAAGTGAATCAGCGCAGATCCACCCATTTTGTCTCCAGTGGCCTCAGTGGCCCTAATGGATTGCCAAAAACCATCAAAAACCACTGAATCCATCGCCGCTTTTTTCGGGAAAACTGCTTTGGGGCTCCCAAGAATCGTTGGTTTTTGGCACATCCTTAGGACTGGGTGTCGCCCGTGGATGGGTTCTGCTGCGTGTGGATGGTGAGCCCATCCCTGAAAGGCACGTCGTCGCTACCGGGTAATTTGTGAAAGGTGTCCTGATGTGAAACTGAAACTGTTACTGTAACATACTGTAACTTGGATATAGGCATTCCATGAGGTTCCAGTTCAGGAGTCCCTCCGACATGGGAAATCTTGTTCTTAAACACGATTTTCAGATCAAGACAAGCGAGTTTATTTACCATTGTTTGTCAGAAGGAAGCGGTTTTCACCGAAGTGGGGTTTCTTGTTTGAAAGACTGAGCAGGCGACTCTTAACCCGCATCGAATATGCGTCCCTGAGTAGCCCTAGAGCAACCTCCCGTCGGTAAGTTTTTTTTCCCGGTCATCACTCGATAAATAAACGCGGATTGAAAGAACATGAAAGAACCCAACCAGTCATGATTCATCATTTTATTCCATATATTATCACACACACACATCATGGTTCATCATGATTCCATATATTATCATATATACCATATATTATCATATATATATAATTATATATATATATATTCCATGATGGATGGTTAAACACCCCATATATTTACCCATGTAATCAGGGACCTGGCGTTGTTGCCAGGTTGGAGGAGGCCATGGAAATGGTGACCTTCAAGGTCTCCAATCTTCCGGATCTCAAGGCGTCAGGGAGTCCCAGCCTCGCCCAGCCGCGCTGTGGCGAAAGGTGGGAAAATCGAAAGGAAACCATGGGATTTACCTTTGAAATATCTTGAAATATGACTGAAACCATGGGATTTGAACAGATTTTTTTGCAATTCAAGGGGGGGGGTTCCTGAAATTTTCTTCTTCAACCATGGTATCACTATGGATGGCAGACCCCATTCGCCGAACATTACTCTGTACAGTGGGAGTTAGTTTTTTTTCTTCTCCGGATAGAGCTACCATGTCCGTGATTCAGAATATTCAGATCCAGACCGACTAGCGTCAACTTTACAGCAAGTTTTAGGAAATCAACCATGATAACCATGATGAGCATGAGAAATGGGCTTAGCTCCTAACTTCGCCAGCCACCAGCCGGTCATTCAACACCACAAGGTCGCCGGACTTGTCCCCAGCGGAAATCATGAACTTGCCCAAGTGACAGAGGTGGGACAGGGTCGGTTTGGTGTCTCCATTCAGGCTTGGACAAGTTTTGGCAAAGGTGGAGCGGTACTGGGTTGAGATTAATTTGAGATTCCTATGGCCTGATGTCCCAGGCCGCGTCCTATTCAAAAAGGAATTGGGAACACCGTTTTCGTCTTGGCCTAGCCGCCTAGCCATGCCTAGCCACTTTCTACCCTCATTACTCCAACTCTCGTGACTCGTGTGCCCAAGGTGTGACCGGCGTCAAAGCACGCCCTGCAGTCAGTGTCTCGACCGTCTGCTCTGTGGACCACCTTTGGGCTGGGAAAACTCCTCAGCCCTGAAGGCCCTGAATCACGGAGCCTGTCTTCTATAGTACATATCAAGGGTCAGCATGACCAGAGCAATCACAAAAAACACTTCCCATCTTATGGGAAAGGACTCTGAATGCATGATGATGAGGGGTTTGCCACATGAAACATTGCGACACGTGCGGCAAAGTGTTGTATGGCAACAACATCGCAGGGATTTTGACGTAATATTAAAGATCTTCTTGCCAGGTGCTTCTGGATTGAACCGTGTGAGCTGTGGGTTGGGGATAATATCCATAGTATACTGCAATGATCGTCAATTCCTATCAGTCGATCTAGCCAAATCGATGTATATATATATATATATACATGGGCATGTGTATGTGTATGTGTGTGTGTGTGCGTGTGTGTGTGTGTTTTCTATCAGAATGATCAGATCCCGATTGCTCAATGAATGCGCCAAAGTGTGGGTTGCTTGCCACCTCTAAGCACGGTGACTGATGCAGCAACCACAGCGAAACTCATACACAACAAGAGGAAAAAGGCACGGCAGTTCTCTATGACAATGTCATGTCCTGCAGTATTTGGGTGGTTTTGAGGTCACAGTTGAGATTTTAGTAGGGGGAGTTATTCCATTACTCACCTGGATGCAAAAGCACTGGACCTCCTGGATCATTTGACCTACCCGACCTTGCCAGGAGAAGCAAGAGAACATGGTTAAAAACGAGCGGCAGGTCATGATGCAACTGGATGAAGCTGGGCTCAGCATGGGGGATTTTCAAGGGCTTGGAGCCGTGGGCAAGGCTCTACTTTTGTTGGGCGCAATCAGCTGTTGATGAAGGGTCCATAGACTTGAGTGGCACGGGTACGGGATTTTTTTCAGATGTCACAGTCATGAGCTAGGACTTCCATCACAAAAAAAAAGGAAGGACCTTGAAGAACCGGAAAGTTTTTCCCTGTCAGAGCTGTGCGTAGCATAAATGTCCGTTTCCTACTCGTTGGTTCCCAAGAAAAGCCTATTGGTTAATCATGAGCTCAGTTGGTGAGTAGTTTCCAAGGGTTGGGACACATACGTGGCTTGAAATCAATGGCTTTGATTTCGGGGGCAAACATCAACTAAGTGCTCTAGGCACCAGGCGAGGTTGACTTCACTGTTTCTTTTGGGGTGTGCACATCAGCGTCAGCGCCAGCGTCACCGCCAGCATCACTGCCCAGGACAGCCCCTTTATCATCAAGCTGTGGGGCAGCTTCCAAGACAGCAACGCAGCCTCTTGGCATCGGCAAGGGCCAAGGAGGTGGATTTCTTTTGGGATCACCATGCGCAGATTGGGATGGATCAAAAGCTATTCCACCACATCTATAAAATTTGCGTGGGACATCCATAGATCCAAGCCACTTGGGTGTTGGCCAGGCAGGCACAGGCTTTTGAGCCACAGCCATGGAACTTTTTTTGAATTTCCAGCTAGATATGCCATCATTTGTCATTTGTGTTGACGTTCTTGGAGGGCACTCTTCGATCTCTCCCCGCAGAACCCCCACTTGGGTCCAGCTTTTGACCGAGGTGTATTTTTTGCTCCAAGCCGCCTTAGGCCGATGGAGTTGGGAGAAAAAACCGGCTGACTCCGGTGACGTTTGCACACTGGGAATCACTGGGATAGGGATGTGGTGATGGCAGGCGGCGAGCTTTTTGATGTCTATACCGACCAGGATTTTTGGGGTCAGGCCGTTGGGTGGCCCCAGCGGATGTCTGGGGGAGGATGGTTCCAAGATTGTCCATGCGGTCCATGGGACGCCACTGGAGGATCGGCCTTTTTTACACCAAGGACAAAGCGCGGTTCTACGTGGCATGTGTGGCCTTAGGCCTGTCACACCTACATTCTAAGTGCTGCCGGCCACTTGAAGCTGGGAGCTGCCGGATGTCCCGTAGGCTGTGCCCATTCTCTTGTCCGGCAATCTGACTTTCTTAGTCTCTTAGTCTTTCTTACAGACAATGCCGAAATGGAAGAGAAACTTAAACAGTCCAAAGGATAAAGGCTTTAAAGGCTTGTAATCCCATCCCCCTAACAATATATTAAACAGATTTAAGCAGCCCCACAGAAACCAGGGTTTACAGAAGCCTGGAACCCTCGGGGCCTCGAGATGCCAGGCATGTCATTTGGCGAGATCTCAAACTCGAGAACTGCCTCATGGATGCCAAGGCCTTGACGGGATGCATGAGTAGTCATCACCAATAACATATCACGGAAAACACAGTAATAATATGTAATAATAACAATAACGATATCAAACATGCTAATAGTAGCAATAGCAATGATAAGAACAAAAATGCTAATGAACATAATACGGAATATCATGGAATATATTACCCAATCATCATCACCACCACCGCCATCATGGTTCCATGTTTCGGATGCTCAGCGGCCAGGGCTATTTGAAGATCACCGACTTTGGCATTTCAAAGTCGCCTGGCGAAACCTGGAACCGGCTGACCTCTGGGGGTTGAGTTATGTTTTTTCCAGCACAAGGGGTTCACAACATCTAATGATCATGCATGGTTAGCTTCAACAAATGATTACTAAATATTATTAATATAATATAATATAGAAATATCATGTAACACAAGTTAATATAATATAGAATGTAATATTTAAAAAAACACATAAAATAAAATTAACATAAGTATAATACATACTGTATCGTATCGTATCGTACCGTATACTATAACAATATATCACGCACACATAATATAGCTATAACCTCTGCATAAGTATGGAAATGATGCACCGGACGGCCCAAGGATGGTAACGGGAAAGACCTACACGGCCTGGAACCTGGTGGTTAGAACTGATCTGAAGGGGTGGTGAAGAAATGGGTTTTGGGGCAGGTCTGGGGCTCTCCAGGTCTTGATCCATCTCCAGATATCTCCAAATGGTGGGTGATGGTGCGTGCTATTTTCATCTATTTTCCCTCACCAGCTCAAGGTCTGTGGCACTGCTGACTACTTCGCGCCTGAGACGCTGAAACAGGTTGGCCATAATCGTGCAGCCGACTGGTGGGCCCATGGCCCAGGTGGACCATAGAGCGAAATAGATACTGTGGATGGATAGATGGATGGGCACCATTTCGGGATATTGCTTGGATGTTGCTTGGATGTTGTGGAAACCTTCCAATTCCTAAGGCCCTGGGCATTATGCTCTTCATCATGATCGCCGGCTACAGCCCCTTTGATGCTCCTGAGGCTGGTGAAACACCACGTGGCGGGTGAGGTGGCTGGCCTGAATGGGGGCCATGAGCTGCGCTGGGAAAGGTCACTCAGATCTACAAAAATATCATCAAAGGTGAGGGACCTCAGACCTTGACGCATCGACTTGCATCGATTTGCATAATTCTGCAATCATTGCTGATCCCCTCCGAGCATCCCAGGCACCTGAAACCATTCCATTTTGCATACCTGGCTGTTCTGGCTCGAGTGTAGCCACCCCACTCTGTAGCCCCATCGCTGTCGCGGGCCATCGCCAGGATGGCCATGAATCTTGGTAACCTTTTGTCCTATGCGAGCTGCGTCACTTCGCTGGTCACGGTGGTGATTGGCTTCATCTATGCCTACTGGCACTTCCCACCCATGTCGTTGCTCTGGTCGACTTGTCCGGAGCTGAGATGAACAAAAACTCAAGCCATGATCCAGCTGCAAATGAAGGAAATGTGTTCAGCCAAACTGTTGGCGAGTTGGGTCTTTTTCATTACACATGGAAAGGAAGGTGCCTTCATTTGCTCATCCCGTAACATTTGTCACCCCTCTTTCTACCCTGGGTACTGTCTACATACTTACTGTACCATGGTACGTGATCAAACTTGGTCATCACGAATCACTTTGCGCCATGGCCACATCAAGCCTCTATCCTCCATACGGACCTTTGACATCCATTCCGTGAGGCGGGTGGCAGGACCCCGATGAGTACACCTACTGGGTGGATTGCAATTCCAAGTGGGCCGAGGGCTGGGGCATTTTTGGCGCCCTCACGTGGATTCCTTTGATCTTCGGGGCGATCGGAACCATGATGGTTAATCCCATGGTCTTGGAGGTCGTAGGCTTCCCTCGAAACTTCCTCCAGCATGGCAACGTGGTCCGAAGCGGCCGAAGGGGAGGATCGGGGGGTCACCGATGCAGATGCCATGCATGTTTTCAGAGTTTGGGTCGTCAGAATTTTGACTAGGATACAGTACTGAATCATACTAAATCTTTATGCTATTGAACGCATTATATCGTATGTATGTAGAAACTAGTGAATGTTTGTCAGACCTGGTAAAAGAAGAGGGTGGAGGATGGTGAAAGGATATAGTAGGCGCCAACTGCTTTGTCTTCTGCAATTGGGGTGACGCAAATCAGATTGAAAGGAAACTGCCTGTTAGCCCGCCCAGTTGAATGAGCAGGTGGACAAGCACGCAAGAAGCACCCAGCATATCCCAGCACATTTACCTCCGGTATCCTCCGGTTCACCACTTCCAAAGACTATGTAGATCTATGTAGAGCTGAGGATACGAACGCATACGGCCATGAAACACAGCAGACGGTGTTTTTGGCTGAGGCTTTTTCCTGATCCTGCAGGGCATGATGGCCAACATTGGCTTCTGTGGCAAGCTTGGTGTCGTCACGGGATTTGCCAGCCTTGCCGTTGGCTTCATTGACATCATTGCCAGCGCCTTCCACATCAAGAGCGATCGAATGAAGGACCTGCAACGCCTCAAGGACAGTGAATGAATGCGCTTACTTGGACACCTCCGGAAAATCAACGTGGCACCAAAATACCCATCATTTCATATCACTTCTATCTACTATGTTTTCCATTATAATTTATAATGGTGATTTTCATTTTGTCGTGTGTTGCCAGAGGGTACTCAGTCAACGAGCCCAAGAAGAGCATAGCAGAGCCTCAGGACCCCACGGGCTATGAGACACACGAGGATGAGGACGACGATGAAAGTGAGTGAGGGTGAGAGTGGCTGAGAATATTCATATGTAGTAGCTGGGGTCTGGCATTTTGGCGTGGTGCCTGGCCAACACTAAAAGTATAGCGTGGATAGCCCTCCATCCTGCGTGGGTGAACCAGCCGCCAACAATCCTTTTCAAGGCATTTTGAACTGAAATCTTGGGGTGGTGGGCCTTACACTATCGTTTGCAAAACATAAACGACGCGCACGACGCTACCGTGGAGTGGCAGCACCAGTCGCAAAGTACCATACAGTCAGTCGAAATTTGTCATGATGCTGAAACAAAAAAGACAGGAGCGGCCGAATTGACTCTGGAGCTGTCTTGAAAGAGGGATCTGGAACATTTTTGTTTGATTGGTGTGACTCAGAGAGTCGCTATGATCAACCACTTCGCCATGCTATGCTTGTCTCATGAGTCTGGCCTTAGTCTTAGTTAGTTGACCAAGTATCTATACGGGTTTGCATGAAAATATGTAGTGCACCCCAAAGTCCATTGGTTTATAATCAGCTACCCTATTAAAGTGGCAAAAAAGGGTTATCCACAATTCTCAGACACACCCAAACCTCAGATTGTTGGGTATGTATTATGTATCCCATTGATATCCCCATTATATCTCACTAATATTCCCGAATCCCTAATGTTGATGGTTAAATCCACCATTTTCTGTGGGATATGTTGGTACCTGACGTGTAAACGTTGCGAAGCTTTGGAAGAGCTGAGAGCAACAATCAATCCTGAAGTAGATAGAGAATAAACTTTTTCTATTCAATCCCGAATAAAATGACAATCATATTGAAAATTCATATTCTATTTGCTCCAGGATGACATATGTACATTTTACATGCGAGTATGCAGGTACATGCATGCATCTATAGATAGATAGATAGATATATATATATATATCTATATAATATGTGTGTAATGGATAATATTTACAATACATACAATACATTGCATATCCACACGGGAAAATGCGTGAAAATTCCATTGTATGGCTTCCCAAGGAGGATCTCGAAAATCTAAGGCCTGTCGAAGGTGCAGTTCCCACCAGTCTTCACCCCAGAGGCGCTGAGCATTTCATCCTTCACCGTGGGATTCCAGGGGATAATTAAGACCAGCATCTGCCCACAGCTGGCGCGCAGGCTGAGGAGTGTGTGCGCGCCTTGTGCCGCAAGAAGCCGGAGGAGTGGTCGCACGGCAGAGACATGGGAGGGCAACATATATGTGGCAGTATAATGGGTATACATAATGGTATATATCAAGGGGAAAACCCTAGGAAACCATGGTTTTAAACCCGAAATGCGGGGCAAGCTACTTCTGGGAACAAAGGTATGCAGATGTGTACATAATACAGGCAAGTGGATTGACCATTTGAACTTTCCTGCCGTTTTCTTGCTTATTTGGCGAGGCTTTCCGATGAAGCATGGGGCAATGCTTTGTCGATAACCGAATTCGACGGCTGATGTGCTGGAAGTCTGAAATAGATGCCCTCATATAGGCATGGCGACATCTTGTGAATCGCAATGACGGGTTTTGAAGCGGCTTCTCCTGTTGGAGGGGGCCCTCTGTTAGATTTTGAATGGCTCGCAGGATCGGATTGTCATGCAGCGCGGCGGGTTGAGTGTCTTTGCTGCACCAGGGACTCACATGCACCCGCACAGAAGACTCACTGTTAGTACAAGAGATTGGATTGGGGCAGAAAGCTTGACTGGAAACCTACGACCGGTTGGTACTCCTTCAATCATCTTCCGTGGAAACGATCCAAAAGCTCTGAAAGACTTCTACTTTGCCGCACCACCTTTATCCAAAATTTGGGTTCCAGACAGTCTGGGCCAGGGTCTAGTTGCAGTACTTGCAAAGTGGTGCATGTTGAAAACCATGCGCGTGGCGCAAGGCAACCTTTCGGAGCTGGCATTCTTCACATACATGGACTGGGAGGCGCACATGAACGGACAAGAATATGGTGCCCGTAACTCCGACGTCACTCGGGAAAACAGGAGAAGCATGGACAAACTCAAGATTAGGCGCTTCGCTTCCCCTTTCCTCAGATGGGTCGACAGAAAAAGTGGACTCAGGGGGCCAGACCCAATTTTTCAATCCAAGATATCCACGGAAACATGGGATAATTACCCCCAATTTCAAAGGGTGATGATCGGAAGAATTGCTCTTCAGGAGGTGGCCGAACTGAAGTATCCTGCGCCATACATTCCGTCTGTTGGCAGCGTTGGGGGTGGGATTTGATATGATTGAAATGCTTGAAGCCTTGGCGATCTTAGCCAGATGCCGTCAGATTGGTTGGATTTTGTAATTGCATCCCATATAAAACACAGTGTATTATAGCAGCGTGACATAGTGTGACTATAGCTGTTGCGGCTCAGGAAAAGTTGAGCTGCGGATGCTTAACGGTGTTTGATTTTAGGTTTATCAGTCCATTTGGGTATACTTGTGTAACCCTGCTGAAGCCTGAAAATACAGGTTATCAGCCGTAGTCTCTAAAGCCATGGAAAGGACACCCGGTGATTTGTCCGGTCATGGTGGTGCACTCGTTCCTGCAACAGGGTCACTAGCAGCTGCAAGTACTGGGTCTCAGCCAAATGCAATGGCTGGGACAAACCCCACGCCCATGACGGTAGACGAAGGTTTCTTCAATCAACCTGTCCAGGCGTACTTCCAGTTCGCGCAGAACAATCTTACCTACATAAATGAAGGTAACATTGATGCTTTTAGACAAGAGGCAGAGGAGAGGCACACACACACACAGATCATGGAACAAAAGGTTCAGCAACTGTACCAAGAGTTTGAGCAAGTTTGCCTTAGTGAAATTGCACAACAACGCGCAGAAGCTGAACGTAGATATGCACACATGACAGCGGAACATGTAGTGCGCAAGAGGTTGCGAAACTGAGACAAGAACTTAGTGATGCAAATGCAAAGCCAAAGAATGCCACAAATGCAGTCGCATTGGAAGCTGAACAAAGAGCAAACCAAAAGGTAGCCCATGTTACAGCCCAGTACGAGCAAAGGTATTGTGAACTCAGAGGTAGCCTCGAGGCAGACTGTAAACGAATCGTGGATGACACGGTGGAGTATGCAAGAAAGGGTATGGAAGGCTTCAAGAAAGAGGAACAAGCTGTAGTCCAGGAGATGAGAGAGGAGCGCAGTAGGCAGGAAACCCAGGCTGCTGAGCTCAACTTCCAACTCCAAGGGCAAGTAGAGGACTTGATGGAGAATCTCAACAAGTATAGCGCCCCTGAGATCAGGATTGATGAAGTCGTTGAAGAAGACGATGGACTAGGCGGGACAAATCTGGATTTGTACTTGACCCCAAAGTCAGCGGCCGGTACGAAGTCTGGAGCAGAACCCAAGCCTAGCTCAGGTATGGACAGCCTAGCTGTAGAAGCTAAAGAAAAGTTGAGCAATCTATTTGCCACTACCCCTGCAGGATCAGCAGCACTTCCGAAATTGGCAACACTGCCCTTGCAGAGACCACCAAATGATGAAGCAAACAATGAACCAAGTGTGCCCAGTCCTACGGTTGTAGCAAGTGAGACTGGCAAAAAGGCTGCTGAAGCAGGCTTAGGCCTTTCAGGTCAACAATTGTTAGATCTCATCACTAGACTGACTTCAAAGGATTCAGATGGTGAAAAGCCCCGAACAAAAGAGGCGGAGACGATCAAACTGAACGACATGCCCGCCCCAGAAGCCTATCGTCACTGGCGAAATCATGTCAGGGACGAGGTCAAGTCATGCTCCGACAAACCCGATGAGGCTTGGATTTGGCTCAATGAAGTCTTTGACAACAAAACCCCTAGGGACAAGTTGGAGGAAAAGCAGCTACAGGAACCAGGAAAATTCATCACACTTGATACCAAGTTGTCGGCAGCGTTAACTCGCTCTGCCAAAGGTGATCTAGCAACAAAGATCCACAACTTCAAAGATGAAAAGTCGAAGAAAGGGATCCAGGTCAGAGGTAGGAGAGTCCTTTTGATGTTTGAAGATTACTTCAGGACGTCTGAGGAAGCCGGGAGCCTCTATCGTGTTGAGGACTTGTTAGGAGTCGTTCGCACTGGAGAGTCTGTGGAGGACCTTAGAAGGTTTTTGAACCGATGGGATGCCACAATTGCCGGTATGGAAACCCCACTAGATGACTTGGTTCTTAGAGACATCTTACTTCGACAAATCCGAAAATGCCAATTGATGAAGTATGACATTGAAGCATTTGACAGAGCTCCCGAAAAGTCAGAGCAGAAGTCTTATGCATTTTTGTTGAGAAATATTTGAGATCTTTTGGATAGAGAAAGATTCCGTTCAAATAGGAACAGAATCGTTGAAAAGAACAAGCAGACTGAAAAGCCTCAGCCCGCTGCACCCGCTCAGGGGGGAAAAGATCGTGGAAAAGGAAAAGGTGATCGAGGACGATCCCGCGGTCGAAGCCAGAGTGCAAAGGGGGATAAGATATGTTACAAGTTTCGGGATGGCAAATGGGAGAAAGGAAAGGACTGTCCCTACAAGCATGTCAAAGATTCCTCAAGATCTGGTACCCCGAAAAAGAAGGGTAAGGGCAAAGGTAGTGGTAGAAGTGTTTCCCCAACAAGAAAGTCAAAGGGAGAGATGGCCAAGATCTCTTGCACATACTTCCAACAGGGCAAATGTCGTCGTGGTGACAAATGACAAATGTTTTTAAAAACATGAAACCGCAGCTGCACCCACAAAGGACCCAAGACGTACAAATAGCCCTGCACCAAAGAAGAAGGCCAGCGCAAAAGCTGCGCCATGCATTACCCAAAGGTATGCGTGCATTGCAACGGGAAAAGGGTTGCCAAAGGCTACAAACGCCATGAAGGACCAATGCCATAGAGCTGTTGTATTTTCATCAAAAGTGGAATACATCAAAGTCCCAGCAGCTGGTGAGCAAAGAAAGGTAGTGCATAGACCCCGAATCTATGAGAAGAGCTACCCTAATTCTGAGTCGGTACCAAAACCTGACAAACTGATCGCC